TTTCATGTTGCGTGTTACATTATTATCTGTGTTTACACTAGGTAAATTTGTTATTGACGTTGCTGCTTTACTTCCTGACCGCCAACCTTGAGCCTTTGGTTGGTTCCTTCTATCGCCTGGTGTAACTCGTGGTACTGCTCGGCTGTTGTCTGATATAGGATTCACTTGGCACTTGGAGGATTTGTTATCGATTCGTTTCACCATGTTCTTGGATTTTTTTGTTACATCTATCGGATTCGGTAAGTATTTGCACCTTGGTCTTTCATTATTTAATTTGGTTAATTTCGTGCGGTATTTTTCTACGGTGATTTTAAATTTGTTTGCCATGTCACTCATCTTGCTAGTTAAACTTTTGACTAAAGATTTATTCATGATGTTAATCCTTTAAATACTTGTGTAAATAGCGGACCTTTGTTTTATGTTGCAGTTAATTTTACTGACATATAAGTGTTAATGTCCTTTATATTTTAAGTACAACCGTAGTGCACCCTAAGGTCGGCAATATGCGCCTTAGTTAATTTTGCTGAATTTTCTGTGCTAAGCTCTACTATTACGGGAGATATAAATTTTTGTACTTTGAATGGTCCGTTGAATTTCGGTGCAAGTTTTGCTGAAAAATCGTTTTTGGCGTTTGAGAGGGGATGTTGTCTAACCCACACTAACTGATTTATCCGCGGCTTCCAATTTCGACGACGCAAGTTATAATACTTCGCTTGATTGGTTGCAGCTTGTTGCAGGTTATTTTGGACAATTTTGAAAACTCGCTGCAATTTTTCGGCTTTCCCGGCGGGAGTTACTTGTGGATTTCCTGTTCCTGGCGTACATTCGTCAAACGAGTTAGCTGGGAGTTTCAGCTCTCGTCCTTGTACTAGATAGGCTGGAGTGTATTTTGTGGAATCTGATTTTGCCGTGTTAATGGCTAATGTGATTTCCGGCAGCATCTCATCCCACGTGCGATGCTCTTCGCGTGCTGTTTGTGACATCAGTGTCTTGATAGTTCGATTCATACGCTCAGTTGGATTTTCTTGTGAGGTGTACGGCGCTGTAGTTCTGTGTTTAATACCCACCTTTGCTAACTATTGTTTGAAAATGTTACTAGTAAATTGGGGACCATTATCAGTAATGATATCTTTGGGTGTCCCGAATCTGGCTAATATCCTTTCTCTCAAGGCTCTGATGACATTGTCGGATGTTGCTCGACGCATAGGTATCAATTCCGTCCATTTAGAGAACTTGTCAAATATCACTAAAAGCATGGTATTGCCACTCCTCGACCGCGGTAGAGGTCCCATAAAGTCTGCTGTGATAGTAATAAATGGTTCCTCAGGGATCGTAGTCAACATCATTCCTGCTGGCTTGTTTGAACTTGGCTTATATTTTTGGCATAACTCACACCTTTTCACATGTTTGGCAATATCACGAGACATACCAGGCCAATAATATTGATTCTGTATACGTGCAATGGTCTTTCGTACACCAAAATGTCCTGCAGGGGTGCTGTCGTGATTCTCTTCCAAGACTTGTTGTCGTAAGTTTTTGAGAACGCATAATCTCCAACGACTTTCTATATGGCTTTCTCGATCTGCAGGAAGACATTTATACAGTTGTTCGTTCTGAATGGTAAAATCTGGGACTTGGACTGGATTCTGTTTTACTGCTTCAACTGTACGTTCATACCATGTGCACTGTGTTTTAACTGCGGGTTCCTCTATAATTCTTCTTGCGTCTTCCATTGGCTGTCGTGAGAGTGCATCGGCTACCACATTCAACTTGCCACGCCGATACTGGATGTCGAATTGATATTGCTGCAATTCTAAAGCCCACCTAGCCACTCGCCCTGTTGGATTCTCAATGGAATTTAGCCATTTTAATGCTAAATGGTCAGTTATAATGACAAAGTGGTATCCTTCCAGGTATGGTCTCATTTTCCGTACTGCCCATATAATAGCTAAACACTCTTTCTCGGTTGTAGAGTATCTTACCTCGGTTTCGGTCAAATGCCTACTGGCGTACGCTATTACTTTCTCCACACCCTCAATCTCTTGTGTTAAAACGGCACCTAAGCCAATGTCACTGGCATCGGTTTGCAGACAAAATTTCATATTGTAATCAGGACATGTCAGAATCGGTGCTTCGGTTAAGCGTGTTTTAATCTCCTGAAAGGCTTTTTGTTGCGTTTCTGTCCACCTCCAATGTTTGCCCTTTTTTAACAGCGACGTGAGTGGGTGCATAATTTGTGCAAAGTCAGGTACGAAGCGTCGATACCATGAAGCTACACCGAGAAATTGCCTTATTTGTTTGATATTAGTTGGAGTTGGGAGATCTCGAATGGCGGCGACTTTATCCGGATCAGTATGGATTCCTTGGGCACTAATCATGTGTCCCAAATATTTTGTCTCTGTTTTGAAAAATTCACATTTATCCACATTTATCCTTAGATTGGCTGCTTTGAGACGGCATAGTACTTCCTTTAGGTTACGTGCGTGATGTTCGAATGTAGTACCCGTGACAATGATGTCGTCCAAGTACGCAAATGCATGTGGTTCCATGTCTGCTCCAATAACTTGATCTAATGCTCGTTGAAATGTAGCGGGTGCGGAGTGTAGGCCAAATGGGAGTACGCGCCACTGGAATAATCCTCGTCCTGGTACTGTGAAAGCTGTGAATGGTTTACTCTTCTCGTCCATGGGAATCTGCCAATAACCATCTTTCAAATCGATGCTACTTATGAATTTTGCATTGCGAAGGCGATCTAAAATGTGGTGAATACGAGGCAAGGGATAGGCATCTGGAATGGAATTCGCATTTAGTTGCTGGTAGTCTACACAGAAACGCCATGTGCCATTTTTCTTCTTTACCAGGACCACCGGGGCACTGTAGGGACTTTTGGGATGGCTCGATACAATTTTTCTCAAGTAGTTCATTCACCTTTTCGTTGATAATTTGCTGCATTGCGGGATTCTTAGGAAAATATCTTTGTTTAATAGGCCGGTCGTCCTTCATCACTATCTTGTGGGTGGTGATATTTGAGACGCCACTCATGGCATGGAAATATTTAAGTTCTTTGTCCAGGAATTCCTTAATGGTAGCTTCGTGTTCTGTTTGGGCTAGAGACGCACTGGGTATATACTTCTCCACTGATGGGGGGTCCGTATTATTCATGACGATGAGATGATCTCCTATTTGCATTGATGTGCCTATTGCTTGAAAATAGTCCAAACCTAACATGATTTCGTCCGTACTTTCATTTAAAATCAACAACTTCTGTCGCATATTCTTTTGCCCCAATTGAACGTTTGCCTCTATATAAGTATGAATACACCTAGTTGTATTGTCTGCAAGACGAACCTTTGTGGAAAGCTTATTTTTATGTAACGTGAGGCCCAATTTTTGAACCAGTGCCAGGCTGATGAAACTGCTTGATGCTCCCGTATCTAGTGTAGCTTCCAGGGGATGGTCGTCTAATCGTATTCGTGCTAGAAGACGATTGCGTTTTAAGCAAATGGGTTCTTCGGCGTTGGGACAGGATGGAATCTTGGGTTGCTTGTCTCTCCTGTCATAGAAAGGACCCGTCTGAAGTTTCCCGAATCTTTACGGCAACATTCGATTGTGCGGACTCCTTTGGTACCGCATTCCCAACAAAATTGTATTCAACGATTTTGACATTGTCTCGCTACGTGCCCTGATATTCCACATCGACGGCAGGCCTGTTGGGGATTTGAAACTTTCTCCTCGTAAGTTTTAAGTAGATGGTTGCGCTCTTCTTTCGGACGACTGTATTGAGGTTTGTCTTGCCCATGTTTCAACGTCTCAAAGTCTTCCGCTAAAATGATTAGTTCATCTAACGTCGTAAAGTCCCTTCGTTTGATGTACATCTGGTAGCTGATTAAAGAATTCCTGTATATCCTTTCGAGTTGTTGTGATGGAGAAATATCAGCCTGTCGCATTAAATTCTGAAGTGTTAAAACATAGTCTTTAAACGGTTCTTCCTGTTTTTGCTGTCTCGACCAGATTTCGTCTTCCAGTTTTTCGAAATACCGCGCAGGTAAAAAGAATTGAAGGAAGTCGTTTTTAAATTGAGACCAAAGTTGCCACTGCCTATTATTGTTTCGATACCACATTAAAGCTCTTTCCTTCAGGAGTTCCGGCATTGTGCGTGGAATAGCATTGAGGTCGATGTTTTCCATGGTTGCTACTTCTTCAACTCTCTCGATAAAGGCTAGCGGGTCTCTTCCGCCATTATATTGGACTGACCAGCTTCTTACTTGAGCCAAGGTTGGAACATTAAGTGATGTTATAACTGGTACTAATAAGTTGCTGATTTTTCCTTCTACACTGGAACTGGTACTTGGTTTTGTATGATTCTGTGCTAGGATTGTTAACTCATTGCGGGTGGCTGAGTCGTAGTTTCCTTCATCAATGAAATTAGTCATGCGTCGGCGTAGTTCTTCCATTGTTCCTGTTGTATCTAACTGAAAGTTTTCCAATTGTTTACTTAGTTCATCTTTGCGAATATTATAGACCCATGATTTATTTGGTGTTGGAGGTCTTCGAATTTCGTGAACATTTTGTAGGACCTCTGCTTTCGCTTCTGTACTGTTTGATGTGTTAGGGGCAAGAGTATCCATGGTTGGTTTTACTTGTGCCATTTTGTTTGAGTATCTATTTTTACCTATATCAATGTTTATTTGAGAAGTCTATCTGTCCCTGCTCGGGCGCCAATTGTAACGACACGTATTCTCCGTTTCGTTATATCCTTTGCCGGGGTAACCTCAGCCCCTTCCAGGAGTCGTTTACAATAAATTTTTATTTGCAAAAACAGGACTTCTCAAATAAAAGATTGTGGTTATAGTTTCAGAACTATTTATTTATAAAAAAAAATTCAATGACATATAAAGAGTATTTAAATGTGATAATTATTATTATTATTAATGGAAAAAAATTTGTATTATGACTGGGACGGCACGTCAGTGGCAGTTGATTCTTTGGAAAACTCTCAAGGGGATTACTTCCAATGACTATTTCGGAGGGATTCTAAATGGTCTATTCTGGTCTTGTAATTGGCTTCTATGTTCACCTGTTCGGATAATAAAAAAAAAGAAAGATATTGAGGAATATATGTTTGATTTATATAATACACATATAATGGTGTCCAAGCGCGTTGACTTAAAACCGCCTTACGCTCGTAAACGATTATATATATACTTTTGTATTAGTTATACACATTGACTTAACACCGCCTCTGTGTCAGATAATATTTTATTGTATTATTTTATTAGTTGACATATAATGCCACTTAGTGATCATACAAGACTCACTGCCTTACCAAAAAATGCGTCGTCTTTTATACCGATCAGACGAGCTTTTTGTGTAGCGCACATACAATTGTTTTCTGCTGTTTCGGTGGAGTTTTGTTTATTTTCCCGTTTGTATGTCTTGCTTTCGTACTGTTCTTTAAATTGTGCGCTCAGCAGATCTTGCTTATCTCTTTGCGGCGAATTCCTATTGACGTTTCTGATATTTGTTTGTTATGTTTTGATTCGATAATTCTTCCAACTTTTCGCGTGGTGTTTCTTGTTTTATTTAAATAAAATTGTTAATAATTTTTAGTAAATAAATTAATATTTTAATCGTACTAAGTTAATAATTTGGACTACAAGTTGTGGTGATATGTTAGCAGGTGTGTATTTCTATTTTAATTGAATATTTTTATATTTACATTTCTTTTCCCCTAGTTCCACGTTTTGCAGTAGTGCGCAATGTGGGCAGCTATTGTTAAAATTTCCTGTGCAAAGGCCAATTTAAAACAAGATATGTATCAGATTTCAAAACAAAATTCATTTTTTTTTTAAATTTTTATACATTTATTTCAGAGATTTCTATAATTCAACAATTTATTTGGACTAAACGCTGAGTGGGTGTGTGTGTTATTTATGTAGGGCAAAATTTGTTTTATGTAAATTTAGCCCTTACATTATGTTAC